ATCTAATTTCCGTCCTACTAAGCACAACCCGCGCTTTACCTCTCTTTTCTGAACGAGTTTAAACAAAAAATGGAATATTTCTGTCAATGATGACTTCTAAATTCATTCACCTTTCCATACGTACCGTTGGATTTGATGAAGAGTCACACATTTTTGAGATATTGTTTAAAATCTAACACTGCTTCTTGATTCTAAATTCGTTATACGAGTTTCAATTCCGTCCTAACGCATTGAACCGCCATTAGATTTTCTTCGTCCTACGGATAAACGTAGAAAAAGAGTATTCGCTAGGAGCGTTTCTTTTGTTTTGAGAACAATGAGCGTAAATATTCATATAATGCGCTTTAACTGGATTTATGTTGTAGCTAATGAACTTACACATCAGAACAAACCTATTATTGATTTGTGCATGGTGAAATCATTGATATTATTGATCTTTTCTGATCGAGAGAACGGAAATTGGCGATTACGACGAAGTAGTGCTCTACCCTATTTGCTTTAATTATTTTAAATAAAATTAGAAAGAGAAGGTGAACTTTGTCCAGATATGGTTGTAGAAGAAGGAACATCGACAGGGATCTGGGTCACCTTGTCCTTCAAGAAATGCGATATGAAGATGAAAAAAGGATTTCAAAACATCGCCAGGATGGCGATACCAACTTTTGACAAGCTATTGGCAAAAGTTCTCTAAAGATCTAAATGATCCCTTGAGTTATGAAAATTTCTATGAAGAACTCAATTCTACATGTTCCTCCGAAGACTTTCAGGCGTCCCTGAAGTTTTGTTTCTGTTCTCTGGTAATATATCTTCAAAGATTAACAAACTTTCCTGAAGATCTGCAAATTTCTCGGTAGTTCTGTGGATTTCTTTGAATTTCTGTGTGTTCTTCAGAAGTTCTGTAAATTTCTCTACAAATCTACAAAGTTCCTGAATTCCTACAGATTTAAGATCCTTACAGACCAACATTTATCTCTGATGTTCACTAAATTTCTTATAATCTGTGCATTTCTCGAAAGTTTTGTAATTTTCTCTGTAGATTGATTCAATGCATATCTGCAAATATCGCCGAACATCTACACAATTCCCTAAAGTATTAAAAATTTACCCAGAAATTTTTGAGCTTCTCGGAAGTTCTCTGAAGATCTACTAATTTTCTGAAGTTGTATACATATCTGTAAAAGTTCTGTTGGAGCTCTGTAAATTTCGCTTAAGGTGATACTCTAAGGAAGCCTTAGCGTGAAACTTCAAAGGCACAAATGTCAGCTTCCACAAAACATACAAATTTGAAATTGCTACTCTGTGTTTGTAGTAGCACAGCAAAAAAGGAGTAACAATTTCAAATTTGTATGTTTTGTGGAAGCTGACATTTGTGCCTTTAAAGTTTCACGCTAAGGCTTCCTTAGAGTATCACCTTAACATCCAAGAACCGCAATAACATTTTTAAATTTTTTTTTTAAACATCTGCAGATTTACGGTCTACTCTCTGAACTTTTCTGAAGTTCCTAAAATTTCTTTAAAATTCTGTAAAGTTTTCTGAAGTACTGTATTTCTGCTCTGAAGATCTGCAAAACTGCCCCAAAGTTCAATTAATTTCTCAGTAGATTTCCAAACCTCTCTAAAGTTCTGTAAATTTCTTTGTGGATTCTTGGATTTCCATAAAGTTCTGCAGATTTATCTGAAATTCTTTGAAATTCCCCAAAGCTCTACAAATTATCTGAAAATATTTGAACTTCGCTAAAGTTTTAAAAAATTCTCAGAAGATTTACAAATTTCTCTGAAGTTGTGTAAATACTTCTAAAGATCGACGAACTTTCCTGAGGTTCTATGAGTTTTGCTGAAGCTTTGTAATTTTTTTCTAAAACTGTACGAACTTCCTGAAGTTCTACAGACTTCTCTTAAGGTCTACGGACTTCTCTTTCTACTTCCCATCTTGGACTTTCGTACCACGCTGCGATTTGTTTTTGGAATTGAAGTACTTTTGTGAAATTTTACGAATTTTTCTGAAGATTTCACATTTTTCTGAAGTTGTGAAGCATTCTGAACCACTGAATGTCTCTGAAGATCTGCAAAATTCCTAGCAGTTCTGCGAATATCTTTGAAGTTCTGTTAAGTTGTCTGAAACTCCGTAGTTCTATTCTCAAAAAAAAAAAAAACCTCGTGGCTCAATAAAGTTCTCGGTAGATCTGCAAACTTCTCTGTAGTTTTGTAAATTCCTTTGTATTCTATCGGGCTACCCTGAATCTTAAAATTGCCCTGAAGATCGTCTAAATTACTTAAGTTCTCAAAATTTATCTGAACATTTTGAGCTTCTTTTAAGTTTTAAATGTCTCTCTCAAAATCTAAAAAATTCCCAGAAATCGTATAAATATTTTAAAAAATTAAATTTTCTAATATTTTAAAAATGTGTCAGAAAATCTGCGCACTTTCTTGAAGGTCTTCAAATTTGTCTGAGGATCTATGACCATTCTTGCGATTTCAGAAGATCTACGAACTTTTCTGATGTTTAATAATTTTTCAGTAGATCTCCAAACTTCTGTGAAATTCTTTACATTTCACTGCAGATCCTTGGACTTGACTGAAGTTCTGCGGATTTCCCTGAAGATTTGAAAAATTTCGCTTATAGTTTTACAAATTGATCTGAAAATATTTTAGCTTGCTTGAAGTTTTGAAAATTTATATAATCATTTATATGAAGAACTACGATCAATCTTGAGATTTTTTCTAAATAATTTGGTAATTTCTTTTAATTTCTGTAAAATTTTCTGAAGTTTTGTAGTTCTGTTCTCGAGATCTACGAGCTACGCTGAAGCTCAACTAATTTCTCAGTAGATCTCCGAACCTCTCTGAAGCTCTAAAAAATTCTTAGTATGCTCTCAGAGCGGCCAATGACACTGGAAAATAAAAATCAGTCAAATCATACACAGGACAATATTGAATAGTGAAATCGGCTAGGAAATCGGTTAACCTTGCTACTGGGTGCCATCAAAACACAAGTCATGCATTCTTTAGCGGTTCAAAACCGTGAAATTTTAGAAAAAAAAAATGTTTTTATCTCAATTTGGTTCTTTAATTTTGAGAAATATATCGGTTTTTATATATCATCTGAAAAAGCTTCGTTTTCTGAGCACAGCGATATTTTTTTCGAACCCACAAACGTTCATCTCGATTTTTAAATCAAGATTTAAAGCATCCCATACAAAATGACACCGAGGGGCGCTAATGAGGTGATTTTTGCAAATGTAATCGTTCTTATTTAAAATAGTTCCAGTGTACCAAAATTGATGAAATTTTGGGTTTGGGTTCCATTTTTAATGCAGATTACGAATATGCATTTACCTCAATACCCTTAAAGAACCCAATTGCAGCTATTTTGCTGAATGAGTCGAATGAAAATTAAACACAAACCTATTTCGTTCGACAAATCAAATCATGTCGAAAAAGTGTGAACGCATCCGACCAAATTATCGAGCAGTCCGCTCGAATAAGACCAACAAATCGGATAGTCCAAACGTACCTTTAGAAAGCGTTTGTTGAGTCGAGTATGCAAAAAAGAACGGACTTCGGATGCATATTTTTTAGTCTGTGAAAGGGATTTCTAGATTTTTTAACTGCACTGACCTCTGTGAACAGCTAACAGAAAGCAGATAATGCGTTATTTCCTATAGATGTCACCGCAAACATCGGCAGTGAAATCTGATGGAAAATTAATGCAGAAACTTGACTACAGGGTTAATTAATTCTCCATTATACCACAAGTCCCGGATACTGATATATCGTTGGTGCTGGGGAAATACGGTGATGTGAAGCGTGTCATTCGGGAAAAATTCCCAGCCGCCTTAGACCTCGATATGCTGACGGGGGTACGGGGAATTTACATGGATTGTGTTATACAAAATGCTGAAAAATTGGTATGAGCAACTAACTACGCAGAGGGAAGGCGGATATTTAAAATCGCTTTAAAACCGTCAACGGAGTTTATGAACAGCCCCTAGCCAAATTTCATGCTTCATAGAAGCTCCGCGGAAGACGATCTGGAGACCCCTGAGAGAACGTCAAAAACGCCTAATATCTACAGGCAAAAATAGTCAAAAAGGTTATAAATAGCCAACATCACCAACATAAAAATGGCCTTAGAACTCCAAAATAGTCTTAGGAAACATTAAGCAAATCATCATCTTATATAGACCAGTTGCTTTCATTAATAACTCATTTAAGAGTTTGACATAATTAATTAAAAAAAAAGACTAAAATATGATCGTGACCTAAATGGGTAATCTTGATATGCTACATTTTGAAAATGCAAACTAGAAAACTGAGTTTATAAATAAACACCTCTCTGAATTATGTATGCCTACCTAATCTAATTTAAAGCATTTAGTTGTAAAATGATTTTCCTGGTGAATTTATCTAATTTCCGACATTCTCCCGGTTTTTCCACCTCGTCTTTCCAGTTTTCTTGGTAGAGTTATCACGTCGTATTTTGCAAAGCAATAACATTATTTTAATTTCTTCATTCTAGTTCCAATTGAGTAGCATGCAGCTTAATACCTGCATCACAATCTTTACCAAATTTGTATTGCTTTTTTTTATTGAGAGTGATAATAAATCTCAATCCGGCGAATTGCTGTCCAAACGCACGTAATATTTTCATATTCATACTGCTAGTCTTGGTATTGACCTGACACAATAAACAGCTCAATCCTTATTATCAGAAAGATCATAAGGTAAACAGTTTTGTTTGTATGTTATGAGCGAGGAACTTATATTTAGAAAGCAAGTAAGTAAGATTCCCGATGAGTTTGACAAACATAGTTAACCTAATTGAGTACATCAACATACAATCTCAAATTGATTCAGTTACAAGCATTTTGAAATAAAACTTTTACGATACTCTCTTACGACCTCATTTCAAATGTAGAGCACTTACGACGAATCTGTATCCATTCGAAATCTTTACACCCAAGCTTATCTTTTCGTTTATCATTCATGAAGAAACATACCTAATTGGCGAAAACTGCACAAAGATAACACCGCGCTGGTTGTTGAATAATATCCACGGAGGTGTTGAATAACCGAAAATGGCTGCAAGCTCTTCGTGCTTCCAGTTGCCGCGCCTGCTACCCTCTGCTACACGAAGCTTAACGCTATCACACACAGTGAATCACACTCTTCCTGGACTGAACTGGGCGCCTGCCTTCATCCGCAAATTATCCACGTGTCGCTTTCACTTGTAACGACCGACGAAGACTCGAACGAAGCACATCAACCAATTACGGAATACTAACGGAGCTGGCACACAGACGATTTGGTAATAATATTTTGAGCAACCAACAAAACCTGACCACCAAAAGACACAATTCCACTTTGCACACTTTCCCTGCCGACAATGCGCTGATGCCACCAAACCGACGAAAAACAACAAGCCCAAACCAAAGAGAGAAAAACAACTTTGAACTTAATCCGAAACGAACGGCAGCAGCTGGACTACTGGAGGGCTTGAATTGCGATCCGTACACTCGCGCGGTTCCCTGGTAACTGACTGACTGAGTGACTGACTTAACCTGATGGTGGCTTAATCACGCCCCGCGCGGTGTGGTGGCTTGCGTATACTTCGCTGACCGGTTGTTCAATTTTTCCATTTTTGCAATCTTATACACTTCTTTCGAATCCAGGTTCATCCGTGTTGGCATATGTGTGTGTAGTATGGCAGATAGCTGATATGTCTAAATGCACCGGCTCGACGACGACGACGGCGAAGCAACACTTAAGATTGCCCAGCGTACACGTAGTCCTCCGGAATTGACGAATTTCTTTGGCATTATCAAAAAGTCAGGATTTTAAAACGTGTCCACATCATGCATGTGATTGGTGACACGGAATCTTGAGTGACCTTAGATGGATGCAGACAGGAACGGTATTACTGCACACTGCATTGCAAGTGCAGTTTCTCTCTGACGACTCGTGATACAGTACGCGTTCGATTTTGGCACCGTGCTAAAAATTGAACGGATTTTGGAAATAATGTTTTATTTTTGAAGAGCTTTGAGTGTGTTGGATTATTTTCTTTTAATTCCGTTATAATTGCTTATCTTTTGACGGATAAACGTATTTCGTCGACTACTTGCAGACTTCATCAGTGCCAGAGTACTTGGCACTGATGAAGTCTGCAAGTAGTAGACGAAATACGCGTATCTGCCAAAAGATAAGCAATTATAACGGAAATAAAAGGAAATAAACCAACACAATCAAAGCTCTTCGTAAAGGGATTCCGTTAAGAGTTTCGACAAATTTAAAGATTGTTTTATTTTTGCTCTTTGTAATTACAATGTTTAATAAAAGAATAATTATTAACAACGACTATGTCATAAAGATGACACACGGTGGTACAAAATTAACGAAATTATAAATAAAATTTCCATTCGATTTTGGCAAAGCTAAATATTCGGGCTTGTTTCCAAAATTGAACGGGTACTGTAGCGATAAGAAAGATACTCGTGAAAATTTTGAACTCAAAACCCCAATCGCTAAGTGAGAGCGGAGAAGTCATGCATGTCTATAAACTGGCGTCAAGGTTGTAATGCACTTGTGACTAAGGCAGACTTTGAGTTTGTTCCCATGCTTGCTTTTTTGCTTTTGCTGTAAGTTGCTGTAAGAAAATAACACAGCCAACCTTCGCTCGTTGGGCCACACCTGTAGCCCACTTAGTGAAAGACTTTCGTTAGTTGGGCTGAGCTGTCAAGCTGAAAATTGGTTATCGGGGGATACATCGATTGTTTATTATCATCACAATCCGTTAGCAACTATCCAAATTGTTCATACTTGAGCCCCTCGAAAAAGAAATAGCACTGTCAAAAATGACGTTTGACAACGATTTAGGTGGGCTACAGCCCAACTAATGAGAACCCAACTTAAACGTAGCCCACCTAAACATAGCCCAACGAGCGAAATTTGACTGTACACGAATCCCCGATTTGTGTGATGGGTGGTGCTAGAGAGGGTCCAGTATAAGAGAGGAGCGGACTGGCTGGTTTTGAGCCACACGAACTGTCAAAACTAGAGCCAATCGAGCAGCGCCTGTCTTGAATGCATTGGCAGTGTTGCTAGAATTTACCTAGGCATAGGTTGCCAACGCAGTTTGTTTTGAATTCGCTCCTCTCTTCTACTAGACCCTCTCTAGGGGGTGCCATCTACCTACTGCAGGTGCACTCGAGAGCGTTCTCAAGTGCACCTTCAGTGGTGAAAGCACAGAGTGTGGCTCTGCGGTGAGAAAATTTTGAATTTTGATAGTAAGATTAATAGCACTAAACTATATATTCTAAGATGGGAAAAATGAAAATTCTATTCGTACACCCAACCGGGAGATGTATGATTCGCTTATGATTATGTGGGATTCATAATCAGATGATGTTAGTGGAGACCGCATGAACCGAGGATGCGATATACCTAGCTGCGGTCCAATGCAAGAAAATTGGAGACCGAAAAATGTGGAATTAGTGAGTGAAATTAATTATGTCGAAAAAAATTAGAAAAATGTTGCCGAATGGACTCGAACGACGAACGTTGCGATTATCAGACCTGTGCTTTCTACACTGCTCTCTCCATGCTTCTGAATAAGGATAGCTTTAAAGCAACCACCAAGCGCTCATTTCCTCTCATACTCGACTTCGTATGCTTTTTCTACTGGAGAGATTCGAGGCAAGTATGTGCGTCGGTCTACAATGTTATAAATAAAAAGCTTTCAGGTATAGTCAAAAGCGTAGATAGAACACAAAAAAAAAAGTAAAAAAAACCATTACATCGCCTGCAAGGTCAACTTCTAACATTCGCTGTGATGTTCATGAACAGAGGATGATAGGAAATGGAACTAACATTCATTGTAATAAATTTTTGGTTTGCGTGTAAGCATTCTATATTTAAAAGTAATGAAAAAGACCCAAAAGAGCAATCCATCACTGTAGATAGGTCGAATGTGTGATGTAGGATACGACGGTTGCCATGTCAACAGACTGATAAATCCTATCTAAAGAAGCTGCCTAATATTGATTTTAAGAGTTCACAGATTTGTATCATTTTAAAAGGGTATACCCCTCTCACCATCCCTCTCCAACTGGGGAGTTTGGTAAAGAGAGATGATCAACCCGATTCGTATCTTCCTCAAAGTTGTCCTCGCTCGCTTTCTACTCTCTATATACAATTTTCACACACTCTAACGGAACTATTAACTCTATACTTTCATCTCCTCATCTATCATATAAAAATTACCGCTTTAGTCTGTTTTTTGAAATTAGCATCTTAGCAGAAATAAATTGTCAACATCACGCAGAAGTAATACAAAAAAAAATAGTTAAAGTATTCTGAACGTGTTTGTAATGCATGGTTTTAATAAGGCATTTTTAATTTCAAAACGTTATACATGCAGCTGCATTAATCGTTATCTAATCTAATCTAACACCAACACAGCCAGTTCTTGAAAGCATCCTGAAAAATGATATATATATATATATATATATATATATATATATATATATATATATATATATATAATCTACAGAAGCATATATATATATATATATATATATATATATATATATATGTATGTACATCATTTTTCTAGTCTATTTAATGTATGTTTCACATCGAAGATGCGTCACTCTTATCAAAACGGCCAGGTCTACTGTGCAGAATTTAAGGGGCAAGATGAATCAGAAAACATCGGGCCTGTTTAAATTGTAGCTGCATTAACCGTTCTGGGAAATCAAACTCAAGAAATTGACAAGAAGAAAAGTGGAACTAGAAAAAAAATGCTACTTAAAGTTTTGGGATCTTATCTTGGCTTATGATTGAAATTTTTGATAAATGCAATTTACCTAATTTGTATATACTGAGGAAATCATACAAAGCATTAAACCAAATTACAGTAAAAAATAAGAAAAATTGTTTTAGAGACAGCTGATAAAAGGAACTACGGTTTCGTCAGGGAGAAAAAATAAGCGTCAGAGCGTTATCTTTTTTTAAAATGATTTTCTGTAACATGATGCACCTTTATGTAAAAAATCAGCACTTAAAGGCTTCATTTACCCCCTGCCGATAATAGGTAAAGAACTGCCGGTGCCACCTTTTTCTCTAGAAGTAGACTGAAACTACATCCCATTACCCTATACAATTAGTAAAGTACACCAGCTTATTCAACCAGCTAGAAAAAAAAAGTTTCACCATTTTATGTTAAAGGCAGTAACTTTTGAGTACCTTCAAAACCTTTTAAGATTAAAGATATAAAAAAACGACTCTTGGACTTGAACCAAATTCAAGGATTTCGAATTTCGATGATAATGCAAAATGAGGAGAATTTTAGTCATCTACGGATAATTCTAAAGAAGTTTTTGAGGACAATTCCAAAGAAATTGGACTAGCAGTCCAGGATATTTTGAGAAGCATGCAATCTGCAAGGAAAACTAAAGGTGAGTTCCAAGGTAAACCAGAAAAGACCACTATGGAGATTATGAACAGGATTCCAGGGAATTCTAAAGTAATTTATGTCGCCCCCTTCAGGCGAGTTCCAAGAACTTCAGGAATGATTAGAGAACATCGGAGACAGTTGTTAGGAACTTCAAAGTGATCCGAGGAATGAAAGCAAATACCGAGGATTTCGGGGAAGATTCATGATATAAATAATAAATATGGTAATTTAGAAACTCAAGTACGGTTTGATATTGAAATAAATTCCATTTTTTGTCATGGAGCCTATTATGACCATAAAATATCAATTAAAAAAATCGGGCTTTCCTGGAGTTTTGTAAATTTTACTGGTTGTGCGACATACATTTACAATAATATGTATAAGCCCATGAAGTCACTAAGTTAAATAGGGTTAACTACAACTGCAGTATTTTTCGTGGATTTTGAATTGGTTTCTGCGTTCGAAATCTTAAAAATTTCTATGTATTTAGGTAAGTTAACCTTGATTATTCACCCGAAATTGATAGCAATGTTCTCAAGAACTTTTTTGGAATCATTAATTTACGTGAAGTCTTAGAATTCCTATGCAATTAACCTCAGAAATGTCTTAAATTTCTGTTCTGAATGATCTTGGACCCTGGATTCGTATTCTCTTTAGAGTTTTCATGGTATTTCTTCAGAATTCTCAACAAAAAATCCATCTCAGAATACCCCTTGAAACTCTTCTCACAGTTCCATTTTGATGCTATTGGAATTCGTCTTGAAATTTCATTCGAATTCTTTAGGATTCTCTTGGAATCAGCCTCAGAAATCGCCCCAGAATGCCATTACTATTCGCTGAGTTTGGAGACCTTTGGAGTTCACGGAATTTGCTTAAATAATTTATCAGAACTTATTTTAAAAACTTATTAGAATTTGGACCAAGAATCCTCATCCAATCGCCATAGAATTCTTTTAAGAACTCTCATTACAATGCACTTGGAGCTCGTATCTCAATTATCTTGGAATTCTTCCAAAAATTGTTTTGGAGCTGAATTTTGCGTTTTTAATCATGTAATATCAAAAGTGAAGCTCTTAT